CCCAAATCTCATCTGCGACCACATGAATGTTTTGGCGAGAATATGGCCTAGTACACTGCCACGTTTATATAACGATTAGTTGCCTAGGTATGAATTTTTTGAAAGTCTGCAAGTCTTAATAGTTATGGGAGTTTAAGTGTTTTGGTTCTGAGTAATAGCAGTAGCTTTATGGCAAGATGGAGTGTTAGAATGGGAAAAGTTTTCAAACGGAGACTTCATTATCACTAAATTTAAAAAATTCCGGCACACCAAGCCGTTAAGGTTTTTTCTACCTAAATACCTGTTTTTGATCTTTGAAATACTTCTAAACCCTTTTGAGAGCTGGTCTATCCAGTGCCACAGAGCAGAATTAAACTAATAAAGGACTGGCTCCCTTATAGCTCTTTAGCTGTAAAAGCTTCTACGTAAAAAACCAGCTCACTTATCTGTGGACGTCAAGCGAGTCACATTACAAAGTCATTGGAGGCGCGCACCGGGCGAGCGTGTGCGATTATGCGTTTTTGCAGTATTTTGTGTTGTTGCAAGATAGTTTAGAGTCCCAGTAGCCAGAATTTTTGGCATACTGGTTCTCGATGTTCAGGAAATTAATTGTTCAACTACTTGGTCAGGGAACATCCCTTGAAAATTTCAGCTTTCAGACTTTTCTGGCCCTCGAGTTAGCAATTTTGTCGCTAAGAACTTTCATGAGGCTGCACTGAGAGGCTGAATTTGAAATATTTAAGTCGTATATGGGTTGGGAACATCCCCTAACATTTCAACCTCCGAGCTTTTCTGGTCCCTGAGTTAGCGATTTTCCCGCCAATAAATTTTACGGGGCAGTGCGTGAAAATCACGCATGCAGAAGGAGTGAATTTGATAAATTTGATTTGTAAATGTGCTGGGAACATTCCCTGAAAATTTCATCTTTCCAGCTTCCCGAGTTAGCCACTTTTTCGCTAAACATTTTCAATTGGCAGTATGTGAGAACCACGCATATCTGGGGGTTGAATTTGAAATCTTTAAGTTCTATGTGAACGGGGAACAAAACGGCAAGATTTGAGCTTTCTAGCTTTTCTAGTTCCTGTGTTAGCGATTTTCCCGTCAAAACTTTCGCGTAGCCGGGACCTAGATGAGCGTGAGGGTTGGTACCGCGGTCCTAGGGTGCGCTTGGCCAGAAAACCCGCCAGCAAAATTTTGGCGCCGGAGGTTGCTTAGTGCCGAGTCGAAGTACCCGGACAGACGAACACACGCACGCGCACAAAAATATACGCACACACATATACATACACGGACAGGGCCGTTGCAATATGCGTTTTTGCGATTTGCGCATATACAAAAAAGCATGTCCCGTCCTAAATCAGTCGCTTTTTTTGCGAGAAATGTGTTAGACTCGTGGTATTCTGTTTGAGTAATTATGATGTGCGTGCTGTCAGGCGAAAGAATTCGTACACTCGCAAGGTAGTTAAATGAGTGATGTTTTTATGCGAATGTTTATAGGAAGATGCGGTATGCGCTTTAACTTTTCGACAACAAGAGACCGAAGAGTAAATGAAGCGATTTAGTTGATAGCA